TTGAAAACCAGTAGGGATGTATTTCCTGTCTTGTTTGAAATTAAGTGGTATTTGTTAAACAGAATAACTCCACTACAGGTTTTAGGCATTGCCTTCTGTTATCAGTTCCATGGGAAGTGGGCCATATAAAGCCTTACGCCCTAAAATGTAGTGGTGCTTTTTCAGGCTGTATGACCTCATGATAACTGTTTATGGAGCTATGCTGATGTTACGGTATAGATATATTGTCTCAGTGGTTAACTGGATAGCTCTATACTTTAGAACCAGTTTATTGTCTCTTTTACAACGTATCTGTTTATACTCTGTATAATCTGTTACTTAGTTTATCACAAATGCACAGTCCTTAAGTAAAATGAGCTGTATGGTTTTATGTGAAGAGATGGATTATGTTTTTCAAAAGTACTTCAGTTCTGTCTCCAAAGAAGGTGCTGGCAACACTAGGTATTGCACAACTGCATCTCACATGGCATCTTTGTGCCAAACAGATGTTACAGAGTGAATGGTGGTGTCCCAAGGTACATTTTAAGACTCTCATTTCTATCTCAGAATATGTTTCATTTTGCTTATGTTGCCTGGGCCAAAGGTCTGGGCAAGTAAATACATCTCAGCCTCAGACAAGAATGAGACACAGCAGCTGGGCTCAGGAGATGTGTAATAGTGAAGAACCAATTCACTGATGTAAATAATAAGGAAATAAGGATCTTTAGTCAAAGGCAAGGGCTAGCTCTGTCAGCAGAAGGGGGCTGTGAGGATTAGTAAATGCTGCTCCAGGGGACCAGGCTTTTTAGAAATGTTTAGCTGGTGCATGAATGCATATATGCACCATCCAGTCCTGAATGCTGAAGAGGACCAGTTTTGGAGATGTGAGTTAGATACCTATTCATCTGTGTAGCTCTACCTGGCATTACATTGCATCCTACTATTTCAGTCTCACTTTTGGTGCCTGCATAATGCTTTACTGTGGCCAGTATCAAGTGTATTTTGACAAGGGAGCAGAGGACATTTGTGATGGGGCTTGTAATATCATCAAAATTAAGAGACTGGAAAGAGAGTAGTGTGAAGCCAGCACACTAATGGTACAGAGCACTTGACTGCCATACTGTTGTTACCTGGGGAACAGCAAACTTTTGAAATCTTGTGGGTCTGGAGATCCAGAGGCTAGTGTGGGCGATTTAACCACATAACAGCCCAGAGCTGGGCATAGCACACTCTGTGAACATCCTGGTGTTGAAGCTAATGTACCCTTGAGTGCCTAATTCTCTTACTTTCTCTGGAAAGTGCCTGGATGGGTATACAGCGCGAGGTTGTGGAGGGTAAGGTGGGAGGTTTCTTTTTGCTTTCTAAATCATTTTTGTTTGTGGATAAGTGTTCGCTAGCCCTGTAATGATCCTTCCAGAGGGCAGGTGAAGTAAAATTAACAGTACTTTTTCTTCACAAAGCCTGCTACTTCAATATGTCTTCATGTGCTGTTTGTTGGCATGGAAACACGATGCTGAGGCAGAGGCCAGTGTTTCCAGCAAGACCCCCACCTCTTCTCCCTGTCTCCAGCTGATCTGTTGTCTGCAGCTGAATCCTAATTGGAAACTGAGCACAAATTGGGGCTGTGTTCAGGGATGAAAAGGAGAGAGACTTTGAACTTTGTAATAATGAATACAGCAGGTTGTAAGGAAAGACCAGGGGCTAGTGGAGGAAGCAGCAATCTGAAAAGTGGAATACTATCTGATTTTCTCAGTGAAAATTACTCAGCTTCATCAGCAGCAGATTCTGCCTGGTTTCCATACTATAGTGACAGTGGTACAAATTGAGCAACATTTGCTTTCAGTCTGCTCACACGATTGTGGTTATAATATGATCAAATGAAGAATTAATGTCTGCCTCTTTGTTCCCAGAATACACTGGTGCATTTATACTTTTTTTTTTTTTTTTTTTTTTTTTTTTTTGTGACAAATGAGTTAGAAGTTCTTAGAAATGATGTTAATATGATCTTATCATATTTGTTAACTCAATTTATTTTCCTAAATATCTTTATCACATCAATTTGTAGAAATTTATGTCAATGCTAGTTTCTGCTTTAAGTGATTAAGCAAAGCTACTACTAAAACTACCTAAAATGAATAAAATAAACCTGTTTCTAGGTACTTTACTGCCCCATAATCCCAGAATAATAAATGAGATAAAAATGGTTAAGTACATATTAAAGATTTCTCTTCACCATGATATTTCAACTTTGTTGCTCTTTGACCTGCTTCATTATCATTATTTTCCTGTGAAATAGTAGAGAAGAATGGGTGAATAAAATCATTTTGTTCTGCTTCTCTAGTGCCTTTTTCAACGATGCAATTAGCATGAGATCTTTAGCACCCTGCCCTGAAATGGTTGACCAAATAGTATCAGCACATCCTTGTTTAAATACTTCATCACAGGGTTTTGTTTAATGGGAAAACTGAAAGGCATAGCACTCATGTCTCCTGCATGTTTGACACAAATCCACAAAACTGATAGTCATAGCTTCAGAGTATTCCACAGTGGCACAAATAGCCTCTCATTCTGGTGGAATATTGTTTTAACATGACAAACTGTATTTGAGAAATAATATGATTACCCGTGGATAATGCTCTTGGCCTCATTGTGGTGATTAAATAGATGCTCAGTTTGCAGCGACTTCTGCAGCCCTCTGTTAAGCGTGACCTTTTCTCCTGGCTGCAATGCACCATGGCACATTAGCATGTGTTCTGCTCATTACAGCAAGAGGTGATTGCTGCCCTGAAAAATGTCAGATATTCCACTTAGTACATGATCCGCTTTTCTCTTCCCTTGGCCTTAACCTACTGTCACTGAATATCCTGAACAAATGCTGAAGACAGTTGGCAATATCATAGAAAAATTGATCTCAGCATCTGGCACAATGTGTTTAGCACAAGATAGCACTTTAAGAGCAAGTGTTGTGCCTCTGTCTATCTTTCTTCCTTTTCCCTGCATAAATATTTGTCTCTAATTCTTAATTTTCCATATAGTTTGGGGAGCATAACGCTAAGGTGCCATAACTAAGGTTCAGAATGAGTTTGTCATATAAAGCAGTAATAAAAAGACTATATGTATGCAGAAAAAGCAAAGTCTAAAAGGACAAGTCTTGCTTTACAGCTTAAAGCCCATTTTCTTGAGTGTTCTAGCGAGCCTTTTTTTCTCTTTGGTGATACGTGGCTTTGTCATGACAGAGAAGTGGTATGACCACACAAGTAACACTGGAGATGAAAACCCGATCTTGTTACCCTGAAATTAAATATGGATTAACTTCATTAGTCGCAGTGGAGATATTTGAAGCCAACAGTGTTATAAATTTTATTTCATCAGAATCTAATTATAGAGAGATGCACTCTTCAAATTAAAAAGACAATATTTTTGGCGTGGCAGGGACAATAGGATATAGGACAGTGCTACTTACCTCAGCCCTTTCTGCTCATGGTGATGCTCTTTATGCTACCATATCCCATGTTTATAGGCCTGTTTTCCAGCGACATATATATAGCCTTACTAAAGGGCAATTGCCATTGCTACTGCACACTGCAAGAAGTGTTGGATCAGATGCTGTGTTCTGCATCTCCTTATATGAGAAACTGGAAATGAATGAAGTACTGTAGATCTGATAGAAGAGCTGGTATAGGATAACAAAGGATACGTCTCTTTAAGAAGTGAAGAGTGTGTAAAAGGGTCCGGTGATTTTATGAGAACCAAGCAGGTTTCTCAAATGAATACTGTTTTACCTTCAATCCTACCACAAAAGCTCTTCTAGGAATGCTACTGAAGTGTGGCCAATATATTACTGAGGCATTAGTTTATCTCCCATGGAAATGCTGACTGGCTGAGCTAATACAGCAACTGGCAAGCTTATCCTTGAAATCCTAATGCTTTCAGACTTTGTGCAACCTTTTTCTGGGGAATTGAAGGTGCCATGCAGCTGGTTTGTATATGAGAGACTCCTGCTTCTCTGCAGTGCTTGCTGCTGTTCTGTACATGTTAAGCATCCTTTACAGAACCTACATAAAAGAGGGAGCTTGTAACTCTGTATTTTCTTTTCACATGAGGTAAAACATTGAGTTCACTCTCTATGGATTTGGGGGTCTGATTCTGATTTTGCACCAGGATTAAATGAATCAAAATTGAGTATAAATTTAATTAAATTAATTAAAATGAATTGAAATTAATCTTGCTGATTTAAATGAGCTTCTAGTAATGTAATAAATACGTAATTAGGGAAGGGCTGGAATTCTATGTTAGAAAGAGCATGGATTTTAGTCTGATCTTACATAACAGCAAAGCTCCTTCTTTCTGTCTATGTAAATAATTCTGCTGATTTCAGTGTAAGATTAGAAATAGTTGGTAATTTGACCTTTTGAATCTGTTCTAATTGGCTTCCTGCTGCTAGGCAAACTATCCTCTCAGTGTATTCTTTCATTTGGAGAGGCTTATGTCACTTCACTGAAAATAGAGGTCAGATCGTCAGTTTGTGTATATTATGCCATTCCCTTTGAGTTAATAGTTATGTCTGTTTTTTGACTTGGGAGCATATCCCACGTTGTCTTATTAACTTTTTGAATATATGGAAATAGATAAAAGCAACTAAGTGAAAAGAGACGGTTTCAATATGTAATCAAGTAGATATGCTCAGTTTCTGTTAGAATCTCCAGCACGATCTTTAACACCACATTATTCACTTCAGCGTTTGTTCTCAAGCACCAGGGCTTCTGCTTTAGCGAAGTGTTAATGCTTGATCAAGCCTTGAAGCTTAAAGGTTTTAAACATAACACTGAAAACATCTTCAGCTAAGAGGTGAATCAGAAACTTTGATACTCCAGCGTATCATCTATGCAGAAGAGAGAATCTTTCAAGATGCACTATGCATGCCAACACTCCTTATAATCTCTGCAAGGTGCAAGAAATTGTGATTTCTTGATATTAAAGTAATCTTTTCTTAAAAAAATAAAATAAAATAGGGTGAATAGAGAGCTTAGAAATAAAAAGTGAATTACTGTATTGTTGATGCAGTGGAGCTCTGAAGAATGAACTGTTTACTGAAGCAATGGATACTTGAGAACAGTTAAGTTAATATTACCTCCTTCAGTTAATCTTACCTTTTACCTGCACATCCTTCAACATATTTTGCATATTTTATTGTTTGAAAAACATGCCTTTGCAACAAATGACTGAAAACAAAATAAAAATAAAAGCGTTCTGAGAACTAATCATTTCCCCAGTCCTGCAATAACCCCCTTAGTTATTGTCTGGACAGCTAGTATCAGATTTTGTTGCATAATGAAGATTTTCCCTGTGACTGCTGTGAGGTCTATCCAGAGCCTTCTCTTCTCCAGGCAGAACAACCCCAACTCCCTCAGCTTTTTTTCAAAGGAGCTCCAACCCTCTGATCATCCTCGCAGCCCTCCTCTGCAACAGGTTCATGTCCTTCTTATGTTGGCAGCCCCAGAACTGAACACAGTACTTTAGGTGGGGGTCTAGTTTTGTACGCCACATCTCTGTCAAGGTTGTTTGCTGTTCCTCCTGAAAGCTATCAGCAATTAATTTTGTTCTTTTTACAGAATCACAGAGTGGATGAGGTTGGAAGGGACCTCTGAAGATCATCTAGACCAATCCCCCTGCCAAGGTAAATTACATGACAGACAGTACGGTGATGCCTGCTGTAAATTTTTATCTATGATATTTAGCGTGGGATGTCAGACTGTTCTGATGCCCTAACTAATTTCCAGAAATTTTCCAATCAGAAAATCTGGTATGATGACTAGAAGGAATTGAGAGATCTGACTCCTGACCCAAGCTAGTTCATTTCAGCAACCACAACTCTTTCATTTATTTGCATCACATTTTTAAATCAGGGCTGTAAAAAGGAATATTGTTGAAAACTTCTAGGGAACTTTTGGACACTAGCCATTTGCTATGTACTGGAGTCTGTGAGTTGAATCAAGGTGGTTTTTATGTCCTTGAGGAAGTCACTGAACCTGTTCTTGCTTCAGTTGCAAGGATTAGTTCATTCTTGTTTGAAAAATACTTTGAGATTCTCATCTGGATGGAGTCATAAAAGTGCAAATTATAAACAGTGCACCACAGTATATGGCTCAGCAAACTAAAGAAGCACTGAGAGAAATATACAACTGAGCGCTATCCAGGTATTGCTAAATCATCTTTATGTCCCTAGGGATTGTACTGCTGAAGTGTGAAAGTCTTTTTTTCTTTGAAATACATTGAAAAAAAAAAAAGAATAAATTGTTTACTTGCAAGATGAGTGTCACTTTGAAAGTCTTCATATCCACATTTTAAGTATTGCAAGTGAAATGTGGAGCTACATTATTCACATACAACTTATCACATGTTTTTTTCGAGAAATACTGAAAAAAAAAAAAAAGTTTAACATATTGTTGGAAAAATTTCCACATCCTGGGTTAAAAGTCTGAGAAGGCATCTTACTTGAATACAAATACAATTATATATCATTCCTTCTCATTCCTTTTGCTATGCTTGTGTGAATGGAACAAATCTGTTGATTCCTGACACATGGTTAGTTTAAAAAATGTGATAGACCAAATGTCAAAATCTTTCTAAATGCCCCCTCCCTCCTTTTCATATCTTTATATTTCATTACTGTCTTTTACCTAGGCCTCTTTTTTCCTGATCTGAAAAGAAATATTCAATTCAGAAAACTTCTGTACTTTACAGCAAGATTTAAGCAACTTAAATATATAGTTAGAAAGGTATTGACAGTCTGCAAAGAACAGCATTTAGAGGAACGTTCCTTTTAGCATTAGCAGTATATTTGTGAGCAGATTGTGGTTTACTCAGATAGGGTTTTGAGTTTTTTCAGCAAGTGTTTTTGAATGTTTACACTATTGATTGACAATGAATATTCAACGTTTAAGCTCTGTGCCTACGAGCTCTGTGCCTACAGGCTATCGATCAGAAGCATTTTATAATGGTTTTTCTACTCCTTGATTAGACAAACATGCAGGCACTCTGGCACAAATAATTGTGTGGGTGAAACTGAGGCTTATTTGCCAGGAACACTCTTTCTTGTTTTTTTTTTTTTTTTTTTTTTTTTTAAAGTTTGTCCAAAAACTTAGGTCGAAAAAAAAAGGTGAATCAAACATTTTCATATAACCAACCCAAAGGCCTTGAGCAGGGTTGAGAAAATACTTAAAATGTTCATATTAATAGTTGCAGACATACTTCTTTTCGTGTTTTCCTAGCTGTATTAAAAGCAGAGCAGAAGATGACAGAATATGTAGATCTAAGTAACCACATATGTAAATAGCAGTAGTATTAAAGGTTACTGCCTAGCTTGGAGAGAAGCATTTATGTTGCTCCTAATCCTTCAGCCAAATCTACAGAAACTCTGTTGGGTTTGACCATGCCGGTGCTAGCAGGGATATGGTTTGCACTGCCTCCTCCATGACAGAGCCCTTAAGTAACATGTCTAGTGCCTCTAGGCAGCAAGCTACGATGCATCTGAAAAAGGGATATAGCTTTAGTTTCCAACAAAAGCATTGCAATCAGTGTCATGCTGAGGACTGGGAAAATTATTAACTTAGGTCTCCTTAGAGCAAGAAATGCTGCACCATTCCTTATGGTCTGTGAAAGCCTCTGGTAAAAAGTAAAGAATATGAAAGGTAGTGAAAACACTGTTCAGACTCTGATTTGGCTCCTTTAAACTTGTCAGCTTTATGTCATAAGCTCACTTTAGTTCATGCAGGGGGTCAGGAAGAAGAGAAAGAATTGTGCTATTGAGCCATCTGGGAAATATCAAGCTGTCAGGCTCTGAGTGTGGAAACCAGTGGAGCCGCTGAAGTCGGGTAGCATGAGACAGTGTCTCTTCTCTTCTTCACAGCATTGACTAACTATGATTGCAGCTACATGGAGAAGCTGAGGCTCAGGCCTCACTGAGAAAATGAGAAAGGTAGATATCAATAAAAGACCTCTCACATTCTTTAGCACAACATTGTTAGAGTCAGAAGGAAGGTCAGTTGACTTCACCCTAGCCCAGGTTTTATCTACTGTGTCTGGGTATGTTCTCTCTGTACATCTTTACCAGAGCTCATAAAGTGGCTTGTACCAGGAGCAATGCAAACTGAATTATTTATTGCACTTAATGTAACTCTTCTTAAATGTTTGGGAACTGTGAGAGTATTTGTTCATACTTACTTGCCAAAGGCTGAAGTTTGCAAATAATGTGATGTTCTTTGAAGTCTTTCTTTTCACAGTGAAGTGAAAACAAGGATCCATTGAAACCAAATGAGAATTTTGTTCTTGAAATTGGCAGACCTAGGACACAAAGTATGTATTAGTTTTCCAGATTGGGCTGCTGAAAATTTTCATACTGGTAGATAACTATATAACAAATGACAAACAATACAATTTTCTTGCATGAAGTCTTCATACATCAATTTTTTTTCTTTTCTGGTGTTCTGAGCAGTTCAGCTGACTAATATGATACCCCTTCTATTGATTTGCTTCCTCTAACATTCAGTAGTGGTCACAATGTCCACAGTGGATTTGTCTGTTGGTAGGGACCATCATTTTGAGGCTATTTGGAACAGGGCTATCAATATTGGCACTGTAAGAAAAAACAGGTGCTGTAGCTGTAGTGAGCAGTGAGCGAGCAGGCTGATATATCCGGACAAACTGAGCTGCCTTGCAGAATAACAAGCAGATGGGTAGAATACCTTTGCTACACATGAATCACTGCTACAGTGGTTCCCTTTCATTTATTTGGCTATGTTTTCTCTCAAGCACATCTGTGCTACAGCCATTTTTCACCTCTGTTTATTTGCCAGTATAAGACATATAATACCATATTTCTCTTGCTCAAACAGAAAATAACATTGAAAACCTTTCTTTCATGTAGCAGAATATACCGAGTGCTTTGAAGGTCCTTCAGAGAGACAGTTGTAGTGATCTAAGATTTCAAGGCACAACGAGCACTCAAGGACATAGGTTGAAATTCTGGTCTTGGCCTTGAGCTTTGCTTTTACCTGTTCTTGTAGGTTGTTTTTTGTTTCCTTTCAGTTTTGAAGTTGCTGATATAAGATAACCATGCTTTCCACAGTCTCTCTTAGTTACAAACTTTGCCACAGAGAAGGAAGTACAGGCAACACTTTAAAAAAAAAAAAAAGGAAAAGTGTGATTATAATATTTCCATGAGTCAGTAGACCATTGCATAAACCAGAATCATGTTTGCATGCATTTGCCTTGACCACAGTTTCATAGAATCATAGAATTTATTTAGTTTGCATCACTCTTGCTGTAGTTCAGCTGTGTATTCCTTCCGTCACAGTGTATACCATGTCATGCAGTCATGACCAGTTTTGGATTACTGGGAGAGGCTTCTGATAGCCTCTGGACCCTCTCTGCTAGCCACAAAGGGTCACAAACGGTGGCAAATCAGTTCTAAAAAATCTAGGCTAGATCATTAAAATCTGGCAGCTACATGCATCACTATGCAGTTAATGGGAAGGTTTGGAAAAGGCTTTTTCTTGAATCCGAGGGTGATTATTTTTCCTCTGATTTGTAAATAAGCTTACACATTGCTCTGACTTGCAACACAGCTATTCCTGGTTCTCATTTGTTACATCTCATTATATCTTGCACTTTGTTTTACATCTCTTGTACTTTTTACTTTATCCTGAATGCAATTAAAGTGCTTCTGGCATGCATTTGTGTATCATTATTGATATATTTCAAAGTAGGCTTATTTCTCAGCTTCTCATTTTCACATTGCTTCTTAGAATCTTTCTATGGAAAGAGAACATTAGGCCCAATTCCTAAAGGATGTAACCCAGATACCAAGGGCACACATTTATCTGCTGTTTGTCTATGCAAAACTACAATCCTAAATATAAATACTCATCTGTTAGTTATTTTCATGCAAAAAAGATGGTGGATGCATCCACCATCCACAAAGCTCTTTTTTTTTTCTTTCTTTTTTTTTTTTTTTTTTCCCAATTGCTCTGGGGAAGGGCTCTGTGATGCTGAATTACCATAGAGTGGAAAAGGAACAATACATTATTTTTGTCAACAAGAACAATAGCAAATGGAAAAACTTAATTCATTTATACCAATTATTTACTGATTTTATATATTTATTATTTTACTGATTTAATGTTTTCAGTTTGGGATTGTTTTGGCCTGGAAGTCCATATCTTTTTGGGGGGTGCTTTGGCAAAAATTCTGTTGTTTTGGGAGGCTAGGATAACCACAACACCAGGACTTGAAAAGGTCAACAATTGCCACAGATTCAATCATTCTCACTTTTCTTCATCTTTTCATAGAGAAAATTACTTCTTGAAAAGATTCTTGACACATATTTCTGTTGTGTTGAGGTTGTAATGCAGAGCACCAATTTCATTAACTTATTGTGGCTATACCTGAAAACTAAGCCACAGCTTGAGATGATTATTCTGAAAAACTTGAGGCTCATAGTCTGCATTCATACTGATTACAGACTGAAGTTTAAAGACTATTTTGTCTTTGTTGTGCTGGAGGCCTAGGAACAAGTTAAATGTCTTCTAAACTCAGTGGTAAAACTTCTTTAGGCTATATGTTCAGTCTCGTATCTATAAAACTAAGCCTGTGAGAGCCGTGATGAAGGGGACAGCT